AGCCAACTGGCATGCGGGAACGAGTGGCTTCGCCGTGGGTATTTGATCCACGGGATTACCGCTGCAGGATATCTGCTTCTGAGTTGAGAACGCTTGTTGGAGAGGATGGGCAGGACGCTGGCGGTGACGGAAAACTCACTACGTCTGAAGCCATTAAAATTATCTGCATACCTATGTTCATCCGCTTGCGTCGGTCCGGGAGCTTTGATATTCGTGTTACTGTTGACATTAATCTTGATGACATTATTCAAAGGTTGACAACAACCAGTGCTGTAAACTGCCAACGCTGTTTGAACTTATCCTCTAGCTTGATATCCCTTCCATCAACGGGCTCTGGTGGGCCTTGTGAAGCTCGCCGGGTGAACGTCACGAATGCTTCTGAGATTGCTCTTCAATTGACAGACGTCAAGTTTTGCGGTCTTGAGAATCGGAGTGCCCCGGCTGACGCTTCAGGTATGGTTCCAGTCGCCTCGCTGCCGCACTTAATGGGCACTAATAATTGCTATTCTGGTGCAGAAAGATCCTACTTGGTCCTTCATTGGTTAGTCAGCGTGGGTTGATGCTTGGCATGTATAGCAAGTTGCTTGACTTCACCAACCTTTTTGTTTGCATTACCATGGCAGTGGTGCAATACTGTGTATCCCCGGGTGTGACGCATGCTGTGCAGCGAAGCCTCTAAGGCATCAACTGTCATTCATCGCTCCAGAGCTCCCGTGCACTCTGCTGCCGGGCGAATCTTGGTCAGGGGTTTCGACGACCTTTAGTTCATCAGAACAAGCTGCAGTACGTATTGCCGTTTGCCGTCTTTTTCCTTCCCCTTCAGACTCGACGCACTGTGTCTTCATAGAAACGACTGTTTGCTTTGCTTCTTGGAGATGTGCGACGCTCAGGTGCTTTTGAAATACACCCGAACTGCTGATTACCTGCCCTTCCCATTCTGTTGTGCTGACCTTGGCATTAAGGAGAATTTGACTATTGTACGTTTCCTGGATGATTCACCTCAGCGACCGCGTACAATTCTCTCATTTGACATAATTTTTGAGTTTCGCGCGCAGCTGCTGTTGCTGTCACTGAAGACGTTATGCAGTACTGGCACTTTGTTCAGCATTGCGTACCACTGTGTGCTGTTTCCAGGCACGNACTGAAGACGTTATGCAGTACTGGCACTTTGTTCAGCATTGCGTACCACTGTGTGCTGTTTCCAGGCACGCCTTCCAGCAGTAATAAAGCCATTGTGGATGCAGTTCCTGCATATTAACTTGGCTCATCCAGTTACCTCTGCGGTCGGTGTCCCGTTTGCGTTTTCGGCAGCTCTAGAAAATTTGACCCGCGAGGCGATGGTGAGCCTCATTGCTCTCACTGGCTGACTTCCTTTAGATCCTGCGTAGAGCAAAGTAAATAAAACAAGTATGGAAGTGTATTTGCGAGTTTCTCTGCACAGGAATTGGTTGTGCGTCTGTCGTTCCCTCGTGGGGACAGCCTGGACGTGGACGACTCAGCCGACCTCAGTTCAGTGGCAATTCCCTCAGATTGCCCATTTATGATCGGTGGTCAAGTGACGACGCAGGTCATTATCCTTCCACTTAGCACAAAGTCCCTTCACTGGACTCTCGTTGCCTCAAGGTAAGCTGGTGCACGCCATCTTCCTGCATTTTGGTGAGGAAATAGCCCTTGCGGCCACTACTAGTAAGGTTGCAACATACTGCGCATAATGGGCGGATTTATGATCGCAGGCCAGGATCGTTCAGGCTGCCAACTGTTCTGGTTGAGGGCAAATCCAAGCCAGTAAACTCAAACTTGCAGAAGGTACCACCGTTCATCACTGGTGCAGACAGTGTCGACCCGGCTAATTGGGAGTGTATTTCCAACCCGGCACATGTGCTTGTTTTCTCAAGATAATGCATCTCGAGAGAGATAGACTGCTACATGTTTCTAGATTAATCAGGAAATGTCAGTGTCGTCTGTAACGCAGTTTACTCAATGGAAACGCATTTGCAGCGGTGTATGTTAGTGTGAAGTACCAATAGCAAGCAGAACACCTATATTTGGCAGATTTCGCAGTGATATCTGACTTAGCAACTGGTCTCTTCTGCAACCTTGGTGTGCGTGTGGCACTCCCTAAATTTGCAGTTCGCTAATAAGGCCCAAAGCGACTGCCTTAGCCTGCCTGTAGAAAATTCGCACATGCTCCCTATCCCCGCTTCTATTCTTTGGAGCTGTTCATGCGGTGGTGGGGGTACTATGTTACGTGAGTTTGGCGTTCGCCCGACGAAGTGCAGTGTGTGCTATTTCCGTGACAAATAGCAAGAGGCCCTTTGCATTTGTGGTTACTTTCCTCTGCAACCACAAATGCAAAGGGCCTCTTGTAAAAGTACTCTAGATAGTACCTAAGCTTGTCTATTTTAACATCAGCCAATGGCAAAGCTTGACGAGAGTAGTTGTCGTCTGTAGAGTTCCCGAAACTTGGAGTATGCAAGTACATGATGCAGAAGTGCAACTTGCAAACACACGGGTAAGACGGCGACGCAACCCACGATATACATGCGTTGCCTACGAGGTGCCAATAAGATTGTTGAACTTGCCAGTAGCTGGCCTGAGGCGCAGCGCTTGGTACAGAGGCTGCGCGGGCGTTACCATGCGACAGACGACGTTTTGTGACTAAAAACATATGTTTCTTCATCTAACAGCACCGGCGGGTTCCAAACTATCTTTCGATAAAATTGCATTTGAAGCAGCCTAGCAAACTCGGGGAGCACAGTCTACCCTATTCTAGTTCCTGCCCTCCCCCATGCTTTCCTCATTTGACTATCCCAGCATAGTTGCTGGTAGCCGTGACATTGCCACATAAGACGCTTCCCCGTTCGCCGTCTCCACCTGATCCTTGGTCGCCAGCAGTGCACCAACAAGCCTACGTTCCTGTGGGTGTGCGCGGAGTGATTGCACATATTCTTCGACTACGTTATTTTCTGGGCCGCCCGTGCCTGCTTCCTGGAACAAGCTTGGCTCACTGCGCATCCCCTGTTGCCAAATAAAGAACCAAGGCGATGNCCAAGGTGTCGCAAAGCAGTCCGTAGGACTGCAGCAACTGAACTCCGACTCACGCCAGCTGCTGTGGCCAATGCAGCGTCGCTCATGGCACTTAGTCCTAGCGCCATGTGAGAACGCAAGTAAATGCGCAAATTCAGGAGCTCTGCCTGCAGGTCGGCCAACGTCGCTAGGCCCTGGGATGAACGCACCCGAATGAACGGCCGGAGCAACCCCTCGAGGCTGACTAAACCCAAATCACGCCCAAGACGGCTGAATACTCTGAAGAACCCTTCCTCAGTACCAGCAGTGATAAATTCCCTTCCTCCCTGTAAATAGACTGCACGGCGGAAGTTAGTCTCGGCATTAACAGGAGGGATTGCAAATGACTGAGGAAACACGGTAGAAGACCTCAAACAGACCTGCCGCAGCGCTGCATCCACTCCGCTGCATAGGAGCCATTCGTCTGAATCGTCGAAGCAGCACATGACGCTAAGACTGCCAGTATCAACGGTAAGTAGTGGCTGATGGCTGTTGATCCGCTGGCGAAGGTCCCAAAGCCTGCATGTCTGGTCAAAAGAGGCGGTGACAAAAAGGTGGGGTGAGCTATGCGCGAATCGAACGATGTTAATGCTGTCTGAGTGGAGACCGCTCAGAGTTCCCAACCTCGCACCCGTGGCCACGTCATGAATTGTGAGATCTGCGCTTCTGCCGGACACAAGAAGGTAGTCATCTGTGCTGTTGACAGAAACTGAGCTCAGATCTTCACAAGCGCAGTACTGGTGTACAATGCGCAAAGATGCAGTGCCCTCCCTGCCTAGCCGTTCACCTCGCCCACAGCGCCTAAACCACGTTAAAGCAGCTGTCACAGTTGAACCGTCGATACAGTCATCACGATCTCCGGAATACTGATCGTCGTGGCTCGCTTCATAATCACATACTTCCACACGCTGTTGCTGCTGAGCAGGTTGTCTAGACTGCATGCTCAGAGGCAGAGATGGCTGGAAATGGGAGACTAAAGCCTTTGGCATTCTTCCACGGTCGCATTTGGCCTCGTTTGCAAATAGATCATCTTGTTCTCTCCACCGAACAACGTACGGGATACCGGAAACGCCAGCGGCGCAGACGAACAACTCAGGGTGGTGCTTCAGCCAAGAAAGGGCTAAAATGGGGTGGCTGTCGACTAGTTCCGTCCCGAGGACAGCATCTCGCTTCCAGTCAAGAACACGCACCTGTTCCCACACACACAAATACACGTAATGAAACGCATTAGGAAGAGCATCTTCAGACATAGGCTGGCTGGCCTCTTGCTACAGCAAGGCAATTAGTTAAGATGATGGCCACGCCCATACGGCACAGCCAACGCAGGTAGAAAAGTGTGGATGGTTCTCTGCTGCAGTGAGATGGACTGACTAATGCAGCTATTCCCTTTTACAGTCTGTCACGGTGAGCTCTACCGCAACGGAAGCAGAGTGTAACTTGAGTGCTCACCCTTCCATCATTGTTGCCTGTGAGCAACACGTTACTCTTCGCCGGATGGTACTCAAACTGCCTCGCATTCACTGAAGACTGCAGAATCCACGGTTTGCACGGCTTCGCAGCGTCCTCCTCCAGCGTTATGCCTACACACGGCTCTGCTGAAGTGCCTGTAGGTGTCGTTAGGCCCGCGTTGGAGTGCAAGGCACCGGCATGTTGGTCGTGTTGAATGTCCCCCAAGGCGATCCTCTTGTGCTTCGAAGCGCCGGTAGTCTCCGTAGTCTTTGGAATATCCGGTAGCAGATAAGCAGAAGCGGCGTTGTCAAGTACGTTGGCTCCATCCTGCTCGCTGTTGGTGGGGCAAGAATGCGGCCAAAGTTCTTCCGATAAGTCCTCGGCGTGCAAGCACGACTCCCTGTGTGAGTAAGAACCACTCGGCTCAGCTGTCCGGCAAACCGGTTCCAGAGCAGCTTCCCGGCGCAGAACTAGCGTGGGTTCGCCTTCAGCAGGCGTCCCCGTTACTACCGACAGCGTGTTATCTTGTGTCCAGGCAGACAGGGGCGACAGCAACCAGGGACTAGCTTCGTTTGGTGGTCTCGTGTCTTCAGGTGGATACTGCTGCGCATTGCACGGCAGCGTAGTAGTTCCACTGTGAACGTATGCTGAGTTGCCACGAAGGAGCCCAGGTTTCTGCGTCGAAGGACCTCGTGGAGCACAAGTCAGCGTCAAACAATCTGCGCACGCTGATGCGCCACGTCTGGCTAGAGAAAAAGGCATAACAGCAAGGGTAAGGCGCTCACAAGACGTAAGGCGCAAGTCTGCGGCCAACTTCGCGGAGGGTGGCGGCTGCTCCACATGATGTTCTCTGTTGGGATGAGTCGACGCAAGCCAAAAGCGCAACAGGGCCACCCGCGATGAATGTGTCGTTTGGCCGCTTCTGCTTTTCCGGCGGCCACAGTGAGGACGGTCTGNCTCCCCTACCGGCGTGGTAGAGATGAGTGGCAGCATGTACTTTCTCTCCGCCAGAGTAAGGAACAGCAACCGGACCAAGTCTGTTATCGTTGCATCCGTCGGTAGCAGCAGCGGTACATCCTCCGGGAGACCCGTGAACGAGGATGCGGATGCAGCATCCCACTCTGAGGTCCCTACGCTGTAACCGTTCGCCGTTCTACGTGACCGGGAGAGGAGAGTTTCTGGCGGCAGACTAGTGCGCACAAACAGCAACAATCCGTCGCCAGGCTGTAAAGGCGGGCTCTCTGGATGCCATCCAGATGAAGAAGAACCGAAATTTCGCTCCGAAAGTTCTCTTGTTGGGGGCCACGGAACGTCTATTCTGTTCAGTTCACTTCTCGGGCGCTCTTGGTCACTCGACGACGTATCCTCACGTTCTGTTTCTCTTGAAATGCTTTCGCTTATCGTGCTCGCGCTACGCCACAGAGACCTGCGCACTTCGCGCTGCGGGTGCTGCAGAATTGCCGCCCCCATGCTCAGCGTTTCCATCCCATGGGTGATTGATCCGCTACCGCCTGCCTGGTCAAAAATGTCGCAGGACACGGAAGATCGGGGGAACCGCGCCGGCATAGAGCAGCAGCTTCGGCGGTGAAAAGCCTCGAAATGCCCAATGCATACGGACAAGAAGGACTGCGACCTCCGAGGCTTCATAGACGCCGCAGGTGGTGAACGAAGAAACGCCGAGTCCCCCGAGGTCCCTCGTCGCCTTAATTCCCGAAGCCCTCCTTTTCCCTGCAATTGCCCCAGGCTTCCTCTACTATGAGTTGGAAGCTGCTTGAGCAGCCGCAAGCTCTTCGTAGAAGTAGATGAGTCCAGGTGTTTACCCAGACACTTCCCTTCGGCCTCCACATCTCGTTGCAAACCAGACGAAGGCGTCAACTGAATACCACCTTGTGGCAGACGTTGTTTCTGCGCTGTACGCATGTAGATGCCCCCCCCCCGCGGCTGGGCATTACCGGCAGGTCTGCACCGCCTTGCCCCAGGTGGGCGCAGCACTGCTGCTAATGCTGTACCCGCAGCTGCCAGAACGGCTGACGCCGTGGTCATTGCATCTCTTGAAATGATGCTCAAAATGTTGCAGGCAAGCGCTCGAGATGTTTCCGTCAGAGCAGCGCTGGCAAGTGTTGACGAATGGAAGAGGCGTGCAAGTCGATCTTGAAACAACTGCCGGAGAAGTGGCAGCCGCGGGCGGAAGTTACCACCAACACACGCTCCCCCTTGGCCGCCAACGGCCCCTACACTTCCGGTAGACGCGGGATCACAAATCGTTGGCTGCCCTGATGCAGACTGTATCGCATCACCTCCAATATGTCCGTTACTGCCGTACCCACTAGCGGCCACAGTTGCCAGCCCACGGGACCCGGAGAAGCTCGAGACTAGACGAGGTTGTGAAATATCGCACTCTTCCCCCTCCTCTTGGTCGTCTTCGTGTTCATCCCTCTCAAGCACGTGCAGATCCACTCTGAATAACCTGGAGCGTCGCGCCGCGAGCGTGGCCGTGGCAGCGGCCGCAGTGGTGATGGCCGCCGTTGCACTCGACGTTGCAACTGCCACAAGCACAGCGCTGACAAAAATGGCTGCCGCAGTTGTCCCAAAAGAAAGAGGGGACAGAAGGCTTGCAACAACACTCCCACGGTCAAGGACGTCGAACATCAGCCAGTCGTCGTGTACTGCATCTACCTCTGGCGCTTGTGAGCGTCGTGGGCGTTCGTCTACAACATTGTGAACGGTTATCGTCTCCTCGCGCCTGCAACTCCTGCCCACCTGAGCCAGAGAACCGAGCTCCAGCGAGCCGTAAGGCGGTAGCGGCCACACCGGAGTGGAATCGCCTTGGGGCTCAGCGGCACAGCGGGAAGAATGCACAGAGGGTTCCTGCAGATAGCGCAGGGGGACTTGCCACTCTAGCAAGTAGTGTTGTTCCCGCAGAATCTCCGCCACACACAATCCCGGGCGATTCCCAGGCCTTAAATGGCGTAGCCTCATTGGCTGAGATATGTTGAGTGCCCTGTGAATGAAGGTGGAGACGAACTCCTCGGGTCTAAGCCACCGTCTTCGAGCGTTGCACTTGGACTGGCGCTGTTTATCGTGTTCTCCGCTACCGCAGTCCTGTCCGTCACATGTAGGCGAGCCTCCCGTAACAGAGCAGCGGCGAACATTCGTCGAATCCGGGACAACAGGATACATAGGAAACTGCAGCTGCAACTCCCTGACGTGGACATGTATCCTGGGTCCGGGGCTAATCCGGTTCAGCAGGAACAGGAAACGCCAGTCCACCAACTCGTGAACTGCAAAACCACAAAAAACACCGGCAACCACAACTTCAGCCACTCCTAAGGCAATGACAGCAAAAACTCAGCCAGCTGCAACCGTAAGTACACTATATGACGAAACAGCTACGATGGCTGTAGTGTGCTCAACATCCCTTGACTTACGAGTGTATTCAGACAAAACCTGCAGCCCCCGACAGTGCGTGCCGGCCTCCCAAGCCGTATCCGCCGCAGTCAAAGGGTGAATCCCTGATCCCGATGGGTCGCTCCTCCATCCTACTGCCGTTTCACAAGGGAGGACAGCGTCAGTGCAGTCAACTCCACACTTGCGGCCGAGGCCGGCGGACTCGGAGGAATGCACACTTTCCCGTGGGGACCCTGTGGACAGAGGCCAATCCTGAAGATGTAGAGAATTGCACATACTGCTCTGTGAACGGAAGCAGCTGTCACTAGTCCTCTCTCTCCGCCCCGAAGTCTTGTATAGATGGGTGTTGTAATCAGGCTGAGCTACAGATGGTCTTGCGCATCTGAGACTTTTTCCAGTGGCCCTCGCGCCACGCTGGCGTGGCTTAGCGGTTAGAGGGGAGTACGAAACAAACCCTGCTGAGAAGCAGAGCGACTTCCATGTGTCTCTGTGGAACGCGATCCATCGGAGGCTCCTACAAACAGATGCAAGTGCTGCTACGTCTTCCGCACCAAGGCACATCGCTACGTGGCTGAAAAGGGCAGCAGGCAGCGGGGTCTTTGAGAATGGCGTCCCCGCCGACGGCCCTACTGCATTACAGCGCTCCTCATTGTTGTCCACTCTTTCAGGCTGTATAAATAGACTTTGGTCGACAGCAGGGTCCGAATGCCACATGGGCCGACCAAAGTAGCCCAAGAAGCCGCAGTCCACGCCACCGCTCTGTTGGTTCTTCAAGGGGATTCTACGTTCTTCGACGTCCTGCAGTTGACGGTCCACATGCCTACNCCGCTCTGTTGGTTCTTCAAGGGGATTCTACGTTCTTCGACGTCCTGCAGTTGACGGTCCACATGCCTACTTCCAGAAGGAGGCACATTGGTGCTAATTCCCTGGACTGAACGCCCCATGATGCAGCCCTCCAAGGACATCAAAGGCGGTGCGGAAGAGGTCACAGCGCGGGACTCGTCGCGTGTGCGAACTGCCAGCTCACCCGTGGCGGCAGCGGGTCTGCTGCCATGGGCATTGGCTTGTTTAGATGAGTCCTCATCTGATGGTAACCGTATACCTAACGGCGGACGCGGTACTTGGGGACCGTCAACGAGCTGCCTGCGGCCAGCCAACACCACCATCAATGGGGAAGTTATGGCGGCCTATAGTGGGGAATTCCGGCGCGAGAGAACCTTAAATGCAAGCGAACTAGGAGACTCACTGCATGCGTAATAAGAAATCCAGAGTACAAACGCATGCCACATCTACTGCAAGTCCTCGAGAGCCAGTGGAATCCGCAGTCCTGGAGGAGCAAGAAAGACCGACAAAGCTGTCGGAAACATATAGATACTGCTAATAGTGCAATTCAGGAACTGGTATTTCTCGCGGCGGACAACAGCAAAGTAATAAACCATGCACCGACAGATGCTGATGCCGCACCTGATCCAGCTTCCCACCGCAGCCGTTACTACCCCAAATCAACTGTCATGTTCCGTGCTATTTNGCCGCACCTGATCCAGCTTCCCACCGCAGCCGTTACTACCCCAAATCAACTGTCATGTTCCGTGCTATTTTCTCAGGGTCCAGAAATCACCGAGTTTGTTCGTGATGCTCCCTATTTTAATAGCCGAAGCTCTTTTCCGTGGCAGTTGACCATTTGCGCTCGACCGGTCGTGGAGTGTGCCCCAGGTGTCCACCCAACGGCGAAGTGGAAATCTAGTTCTAAATTCCACCGTCCTTCCTCCTGTTTGCGACACTAAAGCTAGAAGCTCGTTTAAAAGGATCATGGTCCATGGCATTCACTTCCTGGGTGCGTGTACACTAAGTCTCCGCAACAATGTGAATTCACCGCTCCCCCGACCACACTCCCACTCCCTAGATAGCAGGCGGCAAGGCCTCCACGTTCTACCTTCTTTGTGCGCATCAAGAAGATATCAAAACTCCCGCGTTAAAACAGCTGTATACCCCATTTTAGCTACAGATGAGGTCGTGCGAACCCCTGCGAACGAACCAGCTTGACTGACCGTCCCCGTCCTACTACTACATTCCTCGGAGCGTAAAGCGGCAACCACAACCCGCGTTCTTCTCTACAGTGGGCAATATATATGTCGGGAATTGCACTTCTCACTGCCCCACACGGTTAGCAGTGTCGCGACACGAGCTGTAATGACTCCCTCCGTGTACGCGTTTGCCCTCCAACTAGGTTGGCATCCCATTGCTTCCATTGCGTAGCGCTGATTCGTCGAACTAAGACCTAGCATCCTGCAGTAGTCCTGTAGCTCGTTCACAGGACCTAGCATATCCACACTATCACGTTCATATTATCTGACTAATATATCCTGCAACACAAGCGCCACTGCTCCCTGAGCGCCAAAGCCGTTAGTACTACTCTCTGCACTACACNTATATCCTGCAACACAAGCGCCACTGCTCCCTGAGCGCCAAAGCCGTTAGTACTACTCTCTGCACTACACGGTTTCAGCGTCTCCCCATTCATACCCTCCCCTTTATAATTCAGTGTTCCAACTCATCTTTATTAGAAAGCTCCAGCCTCAAGATGGCGGAGGTAAAGAGAATGTCCTTTGCAAGCACGCTGCAGCAAATGTCTGCCTTCGCTACAAAGTCAGAAGCAAAATTCACGTGACTTGGTTGTTCGCCCATCCCTGCCTTGCTCTGACCTCTGAAGTCTCGAAGTATGACAGGATACGCAAGGTGGCATCCAGTGTGGCCTCTTACAAAATCATCGCACATGCAGCGATGGGCGCACTTTTCGTAGCAGTTTTTCATGGGCCATTCATTAACTACTGCCTTTATATCTGAATGTCCAGCTTGTATCCGCGTTTTCGTGTAGCCACTGCCATGTTTTTAAGCGGACTTGCTGAGTTAATGCCTCTCCGAAGCATCCCGACTGTTCGACTGGATGGGNTGCCATGTTTTTAAGCGGACTTGCTGAGTTAATGCCTCTCCGAAGCATCCCGACTGTTCGACTGGATGGGGGGCACTTTTTGCTGTGCCATTGATTCTCTTGAACTAGCCCTGCCCTCTTTGTCCTTCTGCACAACATCAAGTCCACACCTCGTCAATTTTAAACTGTCTATGGGAAGCCGTTTAAGCTTCCGAGCCTTCGGTGCGTCACGCAAACAGCAAACCGTCCGCCAAAACCGCGGCACTAGGTAATGCGAATTTGCCGGGCTCAGTGTTAAGTTTGCTGGATGATGCCTTGTAACGTGCATCTTCTTGCGCTTAATCCCCTGTAGATGGAGTGATGTCTATAACTTTCCTCCTCGAGCCATGGGAACTTACTTCTGGCTTGGGTCGACTTTTCCTGGTATCCTGGAGGGACGCTTCTTGGGTCGCCTTTCTCACAGGGCCTGCCGCATCCGTGCTGATGGTTTTCGTATCCTCTTCCTCGGTTCCAGCAATTGCATATCCTATGGAGGAGTCTTTTGATTTACGTTTCCCGTCTCTCTGCAGACCTACAGCTTGTCCGTCCCCTGTCTGTCCCATTTCATCATCAGTTGAGCCACCTACGGGGAGGCGCAACAGCGCGCGACGAATACCCTCAAGCTCTGCATGTATAGCCAGATCAATGTCCTCTGCTCGTGTTTGACTTGCCAGAGCCAGAAGCGGCTGCAGTACCGATGCGACTGCACTCAGAGCAGCACAAAAAGCTTGTCAACAAGGCTACAATTCAATAGCAAANCGGTATCTGCAGGTTCCGTGCACTGGCTCAACTGCAACAAGTAATACCCGTGCAAGTGTGACTGTTCTCGTGCGAACAAACGTACCTCCGGCTCCCCGGGGCAGCTTACAAACCAGCGTGACTATGCCGTCTATCATTCGCAACAAGCCTTGTGTCTTCCATCCCTTTCCCTTGGGCAACGTCTTAGAGTTGAGGTGAGACAAGTTTATTCTGTCAGCCATTTCAATTCCAAGTGCTGGGGTTCCCGGTTGCAGCTGTTTCATGAAGACGACCAAAAACGCCACCCGTGCATCTTCTTTAACCCTTTGAGCTTTTTCCATTGCTTGCTGCTGCATGCGTTTCTTCCTCTCCTCCACAGAAACCTCCAAATCTCCTCGTGATACACTTTCCTCACGACTACCACCCCGTTGGTGGCGCTCTGCTCGCGAGACTGCAGGACTGCGCAGGCGTGTCGGAGAACTTGATGGAGTCTGGCCTTCGCAGCTGCCTAAAAGAGGAGCCGAGCCCAGGGAACTGCAGTGCGACGGGGGCTTAACCACAGGCGAACTAGAAGAACGACGGTTTTCTGAGCCCGTGGAGGACCTCGATATCTCCCGCTCCAGGCTGCAGCACTCACTAGAACTGACCAGAGACTGCTGTCGATTCGAAGGATATCTCTCCTTCGAGAAAGTCCTTCCAACCGGGGTGTTTGCAGTCTGTCGGAAAGCAGACGCAAGCGACAAGCCCCCCGAAGACGCACTGTCCCCGTGATTCAAAGTTCCGAACTCCTCACTACCGAATTCCTGCAGCTCTTCGCTAGAAAAGGCCCCCTGAAATGAGAAACTACGGGTTTGTGTAGGACTTTGATCTCCTGCTCAGACCGCAAACATTTGCAGAGAGTTATAGCGCATGGGTTCCCTCCTGTCTACTTCAAGTTTCCTCTAGCGCATAAAACAATAATCTGCAAACCAACCGAAAAGGATATTGCAGCCCCTAAGCGAGACAGTCTGTCGCTATGAGGTAAGAAAGTAGCTGGCTTCTGTGGAACCGCCAGAGATTGCGCTCTACATGTATTCATGCTGACCTGCTCCCCAGATAGAGCTCTCTAGAGAGTCTAACAACTTCAAGTTCGCTTGTCTTTCTTCTTCTTCCTGCTGATCCTGTTGCTGGTGGTACAAGCAAGGACAACGCTTCAAATATCCCTGCTGAAGTGTCTGTATCTTCAAAATGTAAGGCTACAAAAGATGCACACAGAGAACAAAGCACTGCGCACGTGGTGAATCACTCAACGCAACTCATGAACGGAATGCAGTTATTCGAGCATCAAGCAGTAGCGTAGATCAACAATGCTGGTTAATGGGAAACGTCTACGGTGAATATAGGGAACAGGCTGCATACATACATTCAAAACTTCGCGGAGCTTGGCTCGTTGGTTGTATTGCTGTCGCCACATTTTCAAATCTTCAAGAAATATCTGAGGAGTAGAATAATGCACATACGGCTCAACCAGAATAACATGCCACCAAACGCAGGATTGATACCTCACTCACTGGCCTTTCTACGCGTCCAGTGTTTCTCTCTAGCCTCACCCGTCGGTCTGCGGCCTCGAGGATCAGCTGCTTCACCATTCTCCTTCTGTTAGCCAGGTCTTCGGGAGAGCTGCAGAACGAAAAGAAACAGAGAAAGAAAGTGGACATTGAATTCTGCCTCTCACGCCTCCACAGTAATACAGTGCAATCTGTTAGTTCTTCTCCCACGCCGCCGCTCCCATGCAGGTGCCCAACGCACCAAGTTAGAGGGCTCGACCACTGCTCGCGATACAATTGAGAACCGGGAAGGTCGGCTACAATTTTTCCATTCGTCTGAAGCTCCCCATCTGTACGCGCTTTGCTACCAACTTTTTCGCCCAGCGATGACAGGTCGCAGTCTGGTGCTCCGTCGACTTGTGCTCTGACAGACAACTGGCCACCCTTTGCTCCTCTAGACTGCCTAGTTGCAGAGACATCTATCGGAGACAGTGCATGCGGAGATGCAGAGTCTACGCCTTGGTATTCTTCCTGATGCTTCGTTGTCGCTGCTGAGTGGCACGGAACACCTTCCGTCCTGCAAATGCTCAAATTCGCGGAAGCATCAGTTTTTTTCGTGTGGCTTGACTCCTCTGTTGAGATCGAAGAGCAGAGGGGGATGAGATGCTGCATCTGCACCTGGGGTGATGCTGATGTAACGACCTGCTGGGGCCCTAAAAGTTCGTCTTTTGTACTTCCGCCTTCTATTTCTGTGACGGTCTCATCTTTTTCTGCTCCGTCTGAGCCTGGGTCCGTTGGTGTTTCTAAAATGCCGTCCAATAAGAGCAGAAGCATCTCAACTTGAGCTTCGGAGATAGAGGTGGCCAACTGGAGAAGCGGCTGAAGTGGGACGAT